CCCCAAAACCCCAAAACCCCAAAACCCCATGGATTAACATATATAACAAATTTCAGAATCAAACAAGTTAATATACAGATAAAATAGCTACTATCGAAAACATATTTCTCAAGGAATATAGGTGGAAAGCATTAGATAAGCCTAGAAGTGTGTTAAATCTATCATCAGGATTGCACCATTATTGAGTCTCATCAATCTCAGGGAACATAAACTTGTTAGAATAAGTCTCGAGGCATGAGCCGACTCCATAGTTTTATATGAAGTATTTAGACCTCATTTTCTTACACATACTAAATCCTATCAACAAGAATCAACTTACTAATTTCTATATAAGGTATTTTAATCACAAGGTCCACTGTCCAAGTCTCTTGCATTATGACAATGCCTAGTTGCTGAAGCGAATTCTTTAGCCTAGCAATTAAAATATTATATTATGTCTTACCGCCGATATGTAATCTTAAAACTCAGTGTTGTCTTAAAGTATTCCACAAATTTAATCTGTAGATGATAGCGAACACCCACATTAAGCATATATTCCACTCTAAGTAGAAGTGCAGTCTACATATGATTTGCAAGCTTAACCTGATTTCAAGCTCTTCAGAGGGTTTTAGCCTCCGCATTGATACAAACCCGACTCAAAAGAAAATGGATTAATTACTCCTTTTTAATCAACAAGTAGTCCGTATCCACCTGAACACATAAACAAATCCTCTTAACTCCATGCGTATAAATAAGTGTTAGGGCTCATTGAGAACATTTGCTGGCATACACCACTCTGAGCAATTTGACTATCAAATTTACAAAGTGAGTTCTTCTGGCATTCCTGGCTTGAATAGCATTTTTACCCATCTTAATGGACTGGCTTGCATTCCTGGGATACTGAATCGCAGAAGAAGTTAGGATTGCAGTCAAATGATGATAAGCATTTCGAGCCTGCTGGATAGCCTAAACATCTGTGAGCCTTGCATTTTCGATAACCACTTGCGCAATCATAAACAGCTCTAACTCCATCACAAGTCTCTCCAGGATATTAGAGTAATCTTGGGAAGTACTCAAATATCGAGGTATTGGCTTTGCATATCCCAGTCCAAAGCTAGGTCTTCTGGTCTATCATTTGATAACAATACTGGCGGTTTACAGCTAAATTAGATTAAATATTTGATTGCAATTGCTAATATAAGGACTTACTATCACAAATTCCTGAGGTAAAAGTAAGGTAACCACTATTCTGAGTACCCTATTATTGCATGAGACATTGAGTATTATTTGATGTGTCTTTTGTTTCACAGTCAACATTGAAGCATTGAGAATTTACCTCAAATATAAAGGTAATTGAGATAGCTAGGAGTAAGATTGATAAATATTAATTTTTAGCCATTTTGTTTGAATTTAAATTGAATTTAAAAATGTAGTGGTATATTTTTAATACTGGGGTTTTGGGGTTTTGGGGTTTTGGGGTTTTGGGG